ATCTTCATTCTCTCCAACTCGCCACGCAGAGTTTGGAGACGCACCTGATTGATTCGGTTGGTTCCTTTGAACACTTTTTCTAAAGTGTCCCACGCATCTTTTGAAGTAGTTGCCCTTGCAATCTTCTCAAAGTCCAACTCATCAACAGCCCGAAACAGCATGTATAATGCTGCCTTATCCTTTGATCGTAATTCTTTTAGCGCCTTGTTCTGCGCCGCCGTATAACCCGTGGTATCCTTTGGTTCTTCGAAACCTTCTTCAACCACCTCCCATGCGTCTTGAGAACCGAGAAGAGCTTTCATTTGGATGCTCCAATTCTCATAGTTCGTATTCGTCAATCGTGGTAGCAGCATTTGTCCCATTATGTTCGCCATCGGCTCTGATACCAATTTGTTGAAATAGAAATTCACTCTGATACCAATTTTTAGAAATAAACGCTCGCCCTGAAACTAACTTGTTAAAATAACACTTACGAAGTTGTGAAGGAGACGTCGAGAGGGAAGAGACAAGGAGACAGAAATTCTGAAAAACCCTTTTATATTACACTGTTCTTTTTAACTCTGTAACCCCTCTTGCTCTGTTTTTTACCATGTAATACGAATTAATTTATAGGTTTCTAAAATCTAAAATTGGCTACCTCATGACCCACCTTTGGATCATAAAACTACTTTTTTATTTTTTTCATTTAAGTTTATTCCTAAATATAAGTTTAATAATTTAACAGAGATAATCTACCAAATTTTTACGGAATATCTACCGTGTATATCTCTACGAAATATCTGTCAAATATATTGTATATCTCTACGAAATATCTGTCATACATATCTATGTCAGATCTTTCTTTCACGGTAAATAGGCATCATGCTCTATATCCCAACAAAATGGACAATAGAGCACCATTTCAAAGGAGAGAGAGAGAAAAACAACCAAAAAATCGCGTAGAATCGGGCGAAGAAGATAAGATACGATGGATCCAAATCCGGGTTAGACACAACCCGCAACCTAACCTGCAACCCGAGTGAAACCAAATATCAAGGCCCAATCCATTGCAGCCTAGAACCTAGATCAGCCTTGCAGTTGCTACCTGCGTACGCGCACGCCTCGACCTAGGACCCACATTTCGGCCCGATTCACACAACCAGCCCAACCTCACATCTACAGTAGCCCATGACCTATAACCTGCGCCTCGACCCAAAACTGCATGCACACGCATCAGTCTCTAATTGTGTCATGTGGCACACTTGCAGCATGACACCCCTTTGATTCAGTCGGCTTAGGCTGCTCGGCTCTGCGACTCAATTTTGGCTCCTCTCGACTCGGTAAAGAAAAACTAGCCAATTCCCACCATTCCGTTTGTTTCGAAGCTAAATTTTTCCTTATTTAAGTCAAATAAGGTTTATATAAGGGGAAAACTCTCCATTTAAGTTCAATTGAGTTAGGAATTATTAAATTACTAACCAAACGGATATTCCAATAGGAAACGACAACTGGCGATAATTTGGAGCATTTTCGAGGAACGAGAGTTAACGTACTTGAATTAGGGAGAACGCCGGCTAAGGCCAACCAAGTAAGTGGCCTTACCGTCATTGGTTATAATCGTGTGTTGTATGATTACACATGTCCATGGCTTCGCATGTGTCATAGAGCGTATATGTAAACTGTTATGAGAAATGATATGTAAATGTTATGCGATATGATTGTTATGCTGAATTTGATGAATTGATATGGTTTATGATATGTTATATTATGATATGTTGACAACATGCTTGGGATTATTATGTGGCTGTTATGATATATGATATGATCTGTGTACGATATGAATTATTGTGACATGAAAACTTTATGATATGATTAATATATGACATGAGTGATACACTATGATTGACACAACAATCGACGAACTAGCTGAAATCCAACTTCGGCATACGCATGAGAATTATGATAAATGATATGAAAAATTCTATGAGAAATGATATAAAAAATGATATGATATGTACAAAACCCTAGTGAAGTTGTATTAATGATAATTAAAACGAAAGAATGTTGAGACCTCATGCATTATTGTGTGCTCATGCATCGTGAAATACCCTTATTCCGTCACGATAGTACGAACGCATACGCTACTAGGCAGGGGAACGTTCATTATGTTTATCATAATGTTGCCATGACTATCACTACTCCTAACAGGTGTCCGACATCAATAGCTACCAGAGAATGCTCGCCCGACCAGAAAGGGGCACAGGACGTGTGCAAACCAACTGGTGGGTCCATACTCGCACGTGTGGATCATGTAGGAAAATTAAGTACACATCCAAGTTTCTCGTTAGGATAGCTGCCATAGGAAAATAGACTCTTACTCTTATGATAGGTTTCATGCATGTAACTGTATATGTTTGCATTTAACCCCAATAGGGAGGTCGCTTTTTCAGATAAATGCAAGGCTTCCCTGTACGACTGACGGTGACATCGCAACTACGAGACTATGACACATACTTAAGATAGTTTCGTATTTAAATATTAGTAAACTATAGGTTGTTAATTGCATTTTCATTTAATAGCACACAGGTTAGTATATGATATTTTATTTTATATTGTTTTTCTTTTTAGTTCAAATTGAATTAGTGTGTTTAAGGGCCTTAAATGAGCATGTGAAGACTAAAGTTAATTTTATTACGGAGTTCTAATTGAATTATTTCCATATTAAATATTCATGATATGTAAACAGTAGTCAATAGTGACCTTAGGTTATGTAGAATATGTAGGGTCGTTACATATATTTTATGATTTTTCATTTATTTTAAAGTTACATTTACATAAAAGTAAATTATGTTTATAGACTACAAAAATTACGGACTCTTGAAATATCTCATCAAAGTGAACGATTTTGTTTTAAGGCTATATAAAACTATGTATGAAATGCCTCAAATAAAATGCAGTAAAAAGAATTTACATCCATTTAGGACTTTAGTTGTATGCTTAAAATCATTCAAACTTAAGATATTAGATCAATAAGATAATCCAAATCTTACTTTTTTTTTTTCGAAGGATTCTTTATCATTTTGAGACTCTTGGATATTTAGATCTAAAAAGTTATTTTTCAATAAAATTATTAGATCTAATTCCCAAAATTTACAACCATTTAGGACTTTTATTTTATTAATGGTTACTTGAAATTTTTTTCTCATCGAAAAAATAATTAATTTGTCAATTTGTTCCAATTCTCAACTTCAATATATTCTCTCTCGGACAATTTTCAATAAATAAGTCAGAATCTAATAACACTTTCATTTGAATACTCCATTGATTATGATTCTTCCCACTAAACGAAGGAAGGTGGGGTTGCAATAGCTTACCCTTGTTGCCACTTTTGATCTTGAGCTAGATACCACTCGTTAAAAATGCAGTAGATCCTCACTAAACTCAAGAGACGAGAAGAAAATTGATCTTACACAATTTAAAAGAAATAAGATTACCATGTTTATACTAGTAGGAAAATAATCAAAACACATCAATATTAAATATCATACTTATAATTTTTCACCAATACATTAATATACTTGGTGCTAAGCTACTTCTATTTTCTTTCATGCTTCCAAAGCTTGAAGTTCATTGAAACTGAGTCGAATTAAAGACCTTATAAGAGGTGTGGCACTTATGTGATGTTGCAAAGTCGCTAGAACTTTGTCCGGGCCGAACTATATTGGGTCATCTTGCTAGAACCTTGCCTTGGCCAAACTATATTGGTTCTTCTCTTCTACAAGTAATGTATCGTTGAAGTTCGTTCAAGGCAAGTGCGAGGAAGGCTTGAGGAGAGATTTGTCAAGGAGATTTAGGTCAAGCTCGCTATTCACTTGTTATAAGGGTTATAGTAGACTCGACCTCGTTAAGCTTACAATGGTAGGAACGAGAGGGACGAAGCAACATGTCAACATCATATCATCAAGGGGCTAACCCTTCATCGTCAAGTTCAAGCAATGCCTCTTTACCTTCTTCTATGCAATCTCTACTACCACAACCAATGTGTAGGCAAATCGAGTTTTCTTCCTCTAAACTGATTTTTCACAATTACATGTTCGTGTAGTAATGTTGATTTTTTTTTTTTTTTTTTTTTTTGAAGAGTGATAACTCTACCAAAGTAGAATTGTACATCTTTTTTTGCCATTAATTTGACGCACCATTTTCTCATTAATTGCTCCATTTATTATAATTATTAAGCCTAAAATTGTCCAATTGTCCAGTGTGGTTCAACAGGAAAAGAATATCAATTTGCATAATTCGAAACTAATTGTACATTTCAAGGAAAAGAATATCAATTTACATAATTCAAGACTAATTGTACATTTCATTGAGTTATTTGGTAAAATTTCATAACATTTATGTTGAACCATGATGCTATAGCACATCTAAAAATAATGACGATAAATGTCTTTACAAATTGCTAATGTCTTTACAAATTGCTAACCCTGATTCTGCAACCATGCGAAAAGCAAATTTTTCCGAGTATAACATGAAAATTACAATCCACTACCAAATTAAGAACATCCTAGGTAGACAGCAACCCTAATTCTGAAACAATACAAAAAGCAAATTTTTTTAGGATAACATGAAAATTACAATCAACTACCGAATTAGGAACATTCTAGGTAGACGATTTACTCTTTTTCGAGAAGACACAGCAACTGTTTCAAACGGAGAAGACGCGACAACTGTTTCACACGGAAACAGAGAAGACGCAACAACTGCTTCACACGGAAACGGAGAAGACGCAACAACTGCTTCACACGAAGAAGACACAGCGAAGACGCGACATCTGCTTCACACGAAGAAGACACAGCGAAGGCACGACATCTGCTTCACACGAAGAAGACACAGCGAAGGCGCGACATCTGCTTCACACGAAGAAGACACAGCGAAGGCGCGACATCTACTTCACACAAAGAAGACACAGCGAAGGCGCGACATCTACTTCACACAAAGAAGACACAGCGAAGGCGCGACATCTACTTCACACAAAGAAGACACAACGAAGACGCGACGACTTCAAACGGAGAAGACAAGGTGACGACTTCAAACGGAGAAGACAAGGTGACGACTTCAAACGGAGAAGACAAGGTGACGACTTCAAACGGAGAAGACAAGGTGACGACTTCAAACGGAGAAGACAAGGTGACGACTTCAAACGGAGAAGACAAGGTGACGACTTCAAACGGAGAAGACAAGGTGACGACTTCAAACGGAGAAGACAAGGTGACGACTTCAAACGGAGAAGACAAGGTGACGACTTCAAACGGAGAAGACAAGGTGACGACTTCAAACGGAGAAGACAAGGTGACGACTTCAAACGGAGAAGACAAGGTGACGACTTCAAACGGAGAAGACAAGGTGACGACTTCAAACGGAGAAGACAAGGTGACGACTTCAAACGGAGAAGACAAGGTGACGACTTCAAACGGAGAAGACAAGGTGACGACTTCAAACGGAGAAGACAAGGTGACGACTTCAAACGGAGAAGACAAGGTGACGACTTCAAACGGAGAAGACAAGGTGACGACTTCAAACGGAGAAGACAAGGTGACGACTTCAAACGGAGAAGACAAGGTGACGACTTCAAACGGAGAAGACAAGGTGACGACTTCAAACGGAGAAGACAAGGTGACGACTTGACTATGCCTTCGAAGAGGCTTGACTCTTTTCTTTTGGAGTCAAGATTTACCAATCTATTGGCATGACTAAATTTGACTCTGATACCATATTAGATGAACAACTCTCCAGAATGGTATGATATTGTCCACTTTGAATATATGCTCTCGTGACTTTAACTTTGGGCTTTCCCAAAATACCTCATTCCAATGGAGAGAATATTCCTTGATTATAAACCCATGATCATTCCCTAAGGGCTTTCCCAAAATACCTCATTCCAATGGAGAGAATATTCCTTGATTATAAACCCATGATCATTCCCTAAGGGCTTTCCCAAAATACCTCATTCCAATGGAGAGAATATTCCTTGATTATAAACCCATGATCATTCCCTAAGGGCTTTCCCAAAATACCTCATTCCAATGGAGAGAATATTCCTTGATTATAAACCCATGATCATTCCCTAAAGTAGCCGATGTGGGACTTTCATCATCCAATCCAACATCGAGAAGACGCGGCAAGCGTCCCCCCAAACGAAGAAAGACGCTGTTAGGATCACGGAGGAAGACACTGTTAGGATCGCACAACAACGGACGCAGCCAAGCGTCCCCTAAACGAAGAAAGACGCAGCCAAGCGTCCCCTAAACGAAGAAAGACGCAGCCAAGCGTCCCCTAAACGAAGAAAGACGCAGCCAAGCGTCCCCTAAACGAAGAAAGACGCAGCAAGCGTCCCCTAAACGAAGAAAGACGCAGCAAGCGTCCCCTAACCGGAGGAAGACGCAGCAAGCGTCCCCTAAACGGAGGAAGACGCAGCAAGCGTCCCCTAAACGGAGGAAGACGCAGCAAGCGTCCCCTAAACGGAGGAAGACGCAGCAAGCGTCCCCTAAACGGAGGACGGAGGAAGACGCAGCAAGCGTCCCCTAAACGGAGGAAGACGCAGCAAGCGTCCCCTAAACGGAGGAAGACGGAAGACGCAGCAAGCGTCCCCTAAACGGAGGAAGACGCAGCAAGCGTCCCCTAAACGGAGGAAGACGCAAGACGCAGCAAGCGTCCCCTAAACGGAGGAAGACGCAGCAAGCGTCCCCTAAACGGAGGAAGACGCAGCAAGCGTCCCCTAAACGGTAAACGGAGGAAGACGCAGCAAGCGTCCCCTAAACGGAGGAAGACGCAGCAAGCGTCCCCTAAACGGTGGAAGACGCAGCAAGCGTCCCCTAAACGGTGGAAGACGCAGCAAGCGTCCCCTAAACGGTGGAAGACGCAGCAAGCGTCCCCTAAACGGTGGAAGACGCAGCAAGCGTCCCCTAAACGGAGGAAGACGCAGCAAGCGTCCCCTAAACGGAGGAAGACGCAGCAAGCGTCCCCTAAACGGTGGAAGACGTAGCAAGCGTCCCCTAAACGGAGGAAGACGCAGCAAGCGTCCCCTAAACGGAGGAAGACGCAGCAAGCGTCCCCTAAACGGAGGAAGACACAGCAAGCGTCCCCTAAACGGAGGAAGACGCCGTTAGGATCGCACAACAACGCACACACTCGATCTAGATGAATACAAAGAACAGGATAGAGAAAATGCAAGGAGAACTCTGACTAAAGGATTTATATNAAGACGCAGCAAGCGTCCCCTAAACGGAGGAAGACGCAGCAAGCGTCCCCTAAACGGAGGAAGACGCCGTTAGGATCGCACAACAACGCACACACTCGATCTAGATGAATACAAAGAACAGGATAGAGAAAATGCAAGGAGAACTCTGACTAAAGGATTTATACGATCTAGATGAATACAAAGAACAGGATAGAGAAAATGCAAGGAGAACTCTGACTAAAGGATTTATATTGATGACTTCAAGTATGTACAGTAAGAATACAGAGAATACAAAAAGTACATTTGTTAAGATACCAGTTGCTAGGATCACACAGAAGGCGCAGCAATCGCCCCCCAAACGGGGAAGGCGCAGCAAGCGCCCTCCCCCCAAAAGGAGAAGGCGCAGCAAGCGCCCTCCCCCCAAAAGGAGAAGGCGCAGCAAGCGCCCTCCCCCCAAAAGGAGAAGGCGCAGCAAGCGCCCTCCCCCCAAAAGGAGAAGGCGCAGCAAGCGCCCTCCCCACAAAAGGAGAAGGCGCAGCAAGCGCCCTCCCCACAAAAGGAGAAGGCGCAGCAAGCGCCCTCCCCACAAAAGGAGAAGGCGCAGCAAGCGCCCTCCCCACAAAAGGAGAAGGCGCAGCAAGCGTCCTCCCCACAAAAGGAGAAGGCGCAGCAAGCGTTCCCCCAAACGGAGAAGGCGCAGCAAGCGTTCCCCCAAACGGAGAAGGCGCAGCAAGCGTTCCCAAACGGAGAAGACGCGAGAAGACGCAGCAACTCTTTCAAACGGAGAAGACACGAGAAGACACAGCAACTGTTTCTGATGTAAAACTAGAGGGCCGGAAGAAAAACTTTTGAAGGCATAGAGAAAAAGAAGATCAAGAAGAATGATAGATTAGGGCAAAATGGTGGAACAACAAAAAGGTGGAGAAAATCGAAAATCAAAAAGAATAAATTAGGCCAGGAAGAAGAAAACCCCTAATTCAACTGCGGTTGACAAGGCAAAGGCAGGAAGAAGAATAGAACCCTTCGTCCTCGTTTCCCCAAGACCAAAACTTCAAAAGCATCAAAGTTCCTTTAAACTCACCTAAAAATTAAAATGCATAATCTTGCTAGGCAGGATACATCAATATAACTTTTTTCCAGAATAGCCATTGATATTCAAATATACATCAATATATGTATAAGTTTGAGGGTTGGATATCAACATTGATGTTTCTATCTAGGTCAACCACGCAAAAATCTACAAAACTAACATTTTCATGTCATGCCAGCACATTTTTGCAAGTTGAACACCTTCTAGAACGAAGGCAACTATAATAGTGCCATCTATGACACAAAATCTACTCACTACTCCTAAAAGCATTTACAATAGAACTAACTACCAAAACAATAATATTAGATTAGTTGAAAAGCATACCTCGACATAGGTTATGGTCTAGACCTGGTTGGGGACGTGGTACGATTTCCAAGTTCAGTAGCACGACCACCCTCACGGAAACCAAATAGCCTGGGCATTGCAGAAAATCTTGAATTGTACCGCTGAAACTTGGATTTTTTATCATGTACTCTAGGAGATGAACTTGTAAACACAGGTCCAGTTGATGGACGCTTTCGAGGGTACTTCATTGAATGATTTTTATACTGAATACTCTTCCGTTTCTTCTGCAGTTGTTGCAGTGTGGAATTATTGGATGGATATTGCTGCTGATGGGGTTGATGGGTTGGAGGAGAATGTTGCTGATGGGGTTGATGGGTTGGAGGAGAATGTTGCTGATGGGGTTGATGGGTTGGAGGAGAATGTTGCTGATGGGGTTGATGGGTTGGAGGAGAATGTTGCTGATGGGGTTGATGGGTTGGAGGAGAATGTTGCTGATGGGGTTGATGGGTTGGAGGAGAATGTTGCTGATGGGGTTGATGGGTTGGAGGAGAATGTTGCTGATGGGGTTGATGGGTTGGAGGAGAATGTTGCTGATGGGGTTGATGGGTTGGAGGAGAATGTTGCTGATGGGGTTGATGGGTTGGAGGAGAATGTTGCTGATGGGGTTGATGGGTTGGAGGAGAATGTTGCTGATGGGGTTGATGGGTTGGAGGAGAATGTTGCTGATGGGGTTGATGGGTTGGAGGAGAATGTTGCTGATGGGGTTGATGGGTTGGAGGAGAATGTTGCTGATGGGGTTGATGGGTTGGAGGAGAATGTTGCTGATGGGGTTGATGGGTTGGAGGAGAATGTTGCTGATGGGGTTGATGGGTTGGAGGAGAATGTTGCTGATGGGGTTGATGGGTTGGAGGAGAATGTTGCTGATGGGGTTGATGGGTTGGAGGAGAATGGTGCTGCCAGGCTTCATGGTTTGAGCGCAGTTTTTGCGCTTCGGACTTATCCCAATTCAGCTGCTGTTTCATTTCGCCCTTGGTCGGATATGTGCGTTGGACTTCGCAATTGGCCCGAGGTGGTGATTGTGGCTGAACAACGATGGAATGTGGCTGTTGATCAGTCAAACTTATTGGTTGACCATGGCTGTTGCGTATCAACCTTTTCATATCTTTAAGTGAAACAACAAGGCTTTCAAGCCCTTGAGAGGAGATTTCAGAACCAAGGTTACAATCTGCAACGCATGTAACTACTGAATTCACAGCATCTATCTCCTTGTCTATGGCTTCAACCTGTAGTAGTCAAAGTACAAATCTTAGCAAAAAAACAAAGAAAATAGCACCCTATTTCTTTCCCATCTTTTAGGGCCTGTAGAAGGCAATATGACTCAATGTTCATCTTTTTGAGGATTCCTCGAGAACAGACTACTAACCATGGCAGCACGGACATCTTCCTGACCTGTATTGTCTTGAATGATGGCTTTTACAGTGGCATTCCTTGCATCTCGCAAATATTCGTTCAGGATCTGTACAGGTCGAAATGATGCCAACTTGTATCCACATATAAACCTGACGGCCCTAACAAACTGCTTTGTTCCAATAAGATTTTGTACAAGCTCTGCAAAATGCAAGAATAGGAGACGAAGTACCCCATTAGAATGGGGCTTGAATTGAATGCCACGGAAGAAATTATATTGAAAGCTTTTGAGAACAGTTTTGTAAAATCAAATTTCAAAACTTAAATGAGAAGGTAAGGTAATGTACGGGCTTCTTGTTTTCCTTTCTTCCAATACAGGCGTTTGGTACCTGTTCCTTTTTACTTGTAACATGCCTAATGAACGTTAACAAAATAATAAAATCAATATAAACATTTGATTATTCTATTTTAAAAATTTAGTTCGACAAGCAGTTAGGTGCAGCTTTGTAGCACATTGAGATGTGCATTTTACCTGCCGGACCTGCCCCAAACAAGGAGGGGATTATATTCCCCACCCGTCCCCGCCCTGCCCCCACCCGTCTCCATCCCCGCACAAAAATAAATGAGAAATTTTGCAGAGATGAGAAATGAAATAGGTGGGGGGGATGGGGAACAAGAATGGGATACAAATATTTTTAGTAATTATGAGCTAATGTCCATAAGTTTTTGTTCATGATTGATACCAGAAAGTAATACTATCCCGGAAGTGTAAGGAAATCTGAGTCAATAGCTATATTTTAACATTATTCCCAAGTCCTAACAAAGAAAACTAATTCATCAATCATGGGATTTTGACGAAAAGAATATGCATGATGCTCCAATGTTCATGCAAGTTGACTGCAGGAATTAGAAAAGAACAGAGAACGCAACTAACCTTGTATCTTTTGATTATACCCAAACATCAGACACAATTCTGATGCCTGTTCATGAAGCACTACGTTCTCAAAGAGCTTCAAAATCTCATCCCCACTGAATGAAGTCGTCAATCCATACGACACTATGAGTAGCAAGAAGACAACAGCATCCATAGAACCATTTGTATCATTTCTCATGTTCAATTTCAAGTCAATTGCAAGCTTCATTGCATCTTCTCTTTCCTTTGGACCAATACTTGGTGAGATTTGCTTTAGTTGCTTTAAAAGAAGTGTGGACCACCTCAAGAAACTTTCTTCAAAGCCTATCTGTTCTTTATTCAACTGTTGGTGAACATAACCTTTAATCAGATCCAAGACAAGTTTTGCAGGGTCTGATGACTTTTCAAGAAATAATAAGATTGCACTTGGCACCAATTTTTGTCTAGTCAACTGATTGTTTAGAAGTAAATATAATCTCTCCTCATTTGGATCCATGCTGAGCTGCTCATTTTTTAAGGAAGACAACTCCACTTCTTTGGCTGGCAAAGATTCTGGTTGCTCCGGTTTAGCTGAGCTAGGAGTTGCTCTGCCCTCTGAATAAAATGAGAAACAAATAGCAGAGAGATTAGACAATTTAAAACCAGCCAGCATTAGTTGGCATCTGATTTTAACAACTACATCAAAGAGCAGGATCAATGATAACATCACTTCCATGGGTCCGAATCCAGGTAGATGCATATATAATTTAATGCAAGATAAAAGCATATAAAGGTATTAATTATGACAACTACACCTAGGAAACTACTTTGCCAACAATTTGTAGTAAATGAGTATAAAAAAGATGAGAAAAGGACATAAACTGCTTACCAGAAGATTTATCTCCAATACCAAGCGCTCGGGCTAGCTCAAGTGCTTGTTTATATTGTGAAACAGAATTCAGAAGAATCTGTAGTTCAGCTGCATCAAAATCTGAGGCCAACTGAAAATTAGCCACAAGTAGCAAGAATGCCACCACTTCCACATGATTATCAACTGCCATTGACATCTTAGCCTTCCACTGGCCAGCCAGCTTTAGAGCTTCTTCTTTCAGTGGAGCCGTGATTTGTGGTGAGAATTTCAATAATAGTTCAGACAGAAAAATGCATCCCCTCTTGGCATTATGAAAATCGATTTTTGCATCTTCCGACACCGTATGTGGAGAGTAGAACCATCTCAAAGCATCTAGAACCAACTTAGCTGGATCAGAGGATGTTTTTAGAGTAATAATCAGTTCCGTGCGTACCAAATCATGTAGTTTCAGATGTTCACATAAGAGAACTAACAGAAGCGTTCCATCCAAGGCCGACCCGGTATGAAAATTCAACATATTAGAACTTGCAGTTGGTATGCAGCCTGATTCCTCCTTTTTTACTAATCTTACCTTCTCATTACATGTTTCCATCAAATCTCTGACTAAACTGATATCTTTTTCTTTTGAATCAAGTTTCTCACCCAGCCCCTTGTGTTGTATTTCCTTTAATCGACCTTCACCGCCTTTATCCAGCAGCGCTACCTGGGAAGCCAAGTCTGCTTTTAAATATTCAATCTCTTTTAGGTACGTGCTCACTTTCTCATCTTTCTTGTTGAGCTCCTCTAATCGTTTTTCAAAATTATTTTCTTCATTCTTAAGATTCTTTGAGCGCTCTTCTATTGATTTTCTCAACAAATTGAAATGCCCTTTTTGAGCTTTTAGGCCTTCAAGGCATTTATCCACTATCAAAGAAATGGAATCGTGTTCTTTCATCACAGGAGGAAACTCATTGTTCGAGTAGTCATCCATGGATTCTTGGAGTGGATCAAGATGATTCTCCTTCAACTCCCATTCCTTCGAGCATTGGATAATTTCCTTAACTATTGCACTAGCATAATTTGTAAGCAGTATAACAGCATTTTGACAATCTTGAATAGATTGTTGGGTGCTGTCGAGCTGCTTTTCCTGCACATCAAGTTCTTTACTATGCTCCTTGATACACGTTTTGATGGATTCTAATTCTGATTCCTTTGATATTAACTCTTCAGAAAGAGGCTTCAACTTGCTCTCCATTACACCAAACTCCTTCTCCTTAAGTTCAATCTCTTCAGTCCTCAATTTTATAGCCTTTTCCATCTTGTCTAATCTCTTCTCTTTCCACTTTGTGGCAATCATATTTTGAATTGTCTGAAGCTCCTTTTCTTTAAGTTTGAGTTCTACGTCGCTCTCTTTAATTGCCATCTGAATTGCATCATATTGTTTCTTCTTGGTTGCAAGCTCTTTTTCATGTTCTTGAAGCAATTCTTTAATCATTTCTACACTCTTCCCCTTGAAATCACATTCAATTGATCGCTCTTCGATTAACTGTAGTATTCCATTTAATTTTTGTTCTTTTAATTCCATCACATACTCACAATCGTCAATCCTCTTTCGAATCATATCAAAAGCCTTCTCCTTATCGTCAAACTCCTTCTTAACGTCCAAGATTCTCGTGCATACTTTATTGACCGTGTCTTCTTTCAATTCAATATCCTTCGACAAACCTCCCAGTCTCTCTTGTGCTAAATCCAATTCCGACTCTTTCAATCTAATCGCATCATCACACTTCACAATCAAACGATTCAACTCGAACAATTCATTCTTCTTCAACTCAATCTCTTTCGAGCATGCATCAATAGATTTCTCCACATCCTCCAACTGCTCTTCCTTCAACTTAATCGCCTTCTCCCGCCGTTCAAGCTCCTCGTACTCCGTCTGAATCATATCACGAGTCGAATCAAAGTGCATCTCCAAGTCCTTCCACTGAAGACTAAGAAGCAAAAATGAAGAAGCCTCCATATGTAACCGTTCGTGCGCTTTGTACAGACTACTCCGCTTCCACTCCGCAACTTTCATATCCGATACAATCTTCTCCATATCGAAAAAAACTACTCTATCTTCCCAACCAAAAAAAGAATAAAAAAACATATAATGCACAGCAATATACAAATAGCACCAACCAATATACGAGGGAAGAAGCAAAAGAAAGCAAAAGAAAGCAAAAGAAAGCACAAGAACGAAGAATGAAAAAGGAAAAGCTACTGTTAAGAAAAACGCCGCCGCATGTAAAATGCAAAAGAGAATACCGAAACCAAGTGAAAACCCTAGAATCCCGCCATTGAAGAGGTTCAGAAACAAGAAGAAGCGGAAGAGTGATGAATACGGCAACTACAGGCATTCCTTCCACTCGGCTCCACCAGCCCCCATATTTATAGAAAAGAAGAAGCAAATAATTTAAAATAAATTAGGAAGATATTATTGTTAATTAATTATGATTTTTTTTTTTTTAAATTTTCCCCAACCGCTATCCTGTGATCACGGTGGTGGGATGAATTTTAAGATTAAATCTATCCGTTTATCTCCGATAATTTAGCAGCTTCTCCCAACGAACCGTTTTTTTTTTTTTTTTTTTTTGGGTTAAATTAATTAAAATCTCATACAACATAAATAATCTAAATCTATGGATGTATTTTTATGAAATTATTAGGAAACGTTTCGTTATGAAATCTTGTTTAATGATTTTTTATGATTTTTTGTTTAATTATTGGAAATTTCTTTGAGAGAGATAAGATAAATACTATAAATAGATTAATCGTTTCTCTCTCTCCATTCTCAAATCTTATTTTTTATTTAATTATTTCGAATCTCAACCGAGATAAATATTTTTATTAAATTATTGGTTAAATATTTAATATATTAGTTAAATATAGATAAATAAATAAAAATAATCTAAGAAAAAGATAAAATGATGACGCTTTTTTATTAAAAAAATATTTAAAGAAACATATTAGTAATTTTACATCTTTTATGTCAATATTATATCATACCAAAATTGAGAGACAACGGAAAAATAAAATAATAATTTTAAATTTGATAGAGATAATTGGATATTAACAAAAATAAAAAACAAATAAAATCTATTTTGAAAACATTGTTGGAGATTTTGAAGGAAGAGATTTCAAATACTCTCTTGTCAACGGAGGAAAAATGGAAAAAATAAAATAAAATAAATGCACAGTTAAGTACTAAATTATAGTTTATTATATATATATATATCGATATTTTAATATAAGGTAAATATTTAGATATTTACATAAGTTTCCAATGAGTGTTATTTTCATTTATTACTATTTCTGTATCTTTGTAATTTATTTGTTAAGGTGTATGGTGATTTAAGTAAACATTCTCGTAAACCATATTTCTAAAAATTGATATGATTCATGGTATTTTTTTAAAAAAAAAATCTAATGATAATTATTTTTAAAAATCTATTTTTATGTTAAATATTAAATATTGACAAGTTACCTACTTCATTAAAATTGATTTCAAACCTTAAATATTATTAATCTTTTTAAAATTAAAATTGTGTGGTAACCATACTTTTGGATCAGTTGGATTGACGGGACAAAAAAAAAATATATTAACTTGCAAACTAAAAAATTTAACTAAATTTGAAAAAAAAAAAAAAAAAAAAAAAAAAAAAAAAAAAAAAAAA